TTCTGAAGGACAGAGCGAGGGATTGGTGGGAATAGATTGGTCATGCTTTGGGTGGTGATGCCGCGTTGGACGCATGACTTGGAGCGATTTCACAGCTAGATTCAGGGCGGAGTTTTCGCCAATTATAGAGGTGCAACAGTTGGCTCGGGAGTTTCAGGATTTGACGCAGACCACTGAGACTGTGGCGGAGATCACCGCCAAGTTCAGGAAGAGGGCCCTTCTTGTTCCGCAGTATGCCGCGGATGAGGAGATGAAGAAGGCCCGATATCACGAGATGCTGAGGGATGACATCAGGGAGTTCGTGAGCAGGTCCGGCTGTAAGACGCTGGAAGATATGATTTCTCGGGCCAGGGAAAGGGAAATTGATTTGGAACAGATCCGGAAGAGGAAGTCAGATGAGGTTCAGGTAGCCACGAGTTCGGGCAAAAGGCCCAAGGGATCGGATTCGAGATCGAGGGATTATCAGGACCGCAGTCGATTCGGAAAGTATGGCAGGGCGCACGGGGGCGCGTGCAGGAGTGGTAGTGGTGGTGAGTCGGGCTGCTTCAGGTGCGGTTGGACTGGTCATTTTAGCAGGGATTGTACTGTTACCATCACTCAGGGATCAGACTTGATATGTTTTCACTGCAATCAATGGGGCCATAAGAAAGCCCAGTGCCCCAGTTTGTTTTCAGCAGGACGAGTGATGGCACCTACCCCGGCAACCTTGAGGATCACAGACGGCCGTCAGGGCCGTGCAGAGGCGTCTGCGGTAGGAGGCAGGGCTTTCCAGATGGCTACTTTGGAGACGCGAGCAGCGCCGGACATTGCAGGTATGCGATTTTCGTTTTAGTTCTTTTGTTTGTGTATGATATTATATTGTTATGGTTCTGCATCATTATCGGTATGAATATTTTATTTTTGAGCGGTTTTGATTGTAATCAAGTTATATGCCATCTGCATACCGTGGATATTTGGATAGTAGTTAAGGGATGAGTTCTATTGGAGAAGGTTATTTAGGGTGCAGTAACTGTAGCATGCCTTGGAGGGACTCGGTATGTTTCGCTAGTTCGGAGCCATATAAGTTTTAGAATGGACAGGTTGGATCCCTAGCTATGGTAAGCTTGGGATTCCTCAGCGGATTGATTATGGAATGGTAGCAAGGATTGAGATTTCTCTTTATTAAGCATGGAGGTGTAAGCAGGATCGAAGTGGGGGAGAATCCTCCGAGTGTACAAGGGTAAGAGCACGCAAATCCCGAATGATTACGTGATTTCTGAGAAGGAAAAGAAGTAGTTCATCGTTTGTTATGAAGGGTCGCCTGTAGGACTCATGTGAATCGGAATGGAGATCTTGAGGTCAATTAGCATGGGATGCTTTTGTGCTAGCAGTCAGTTGTGGGAAGTGTTGTTAGACTACGGGGCAGCCGTAGCATTCCGTAGTAGCTTTGTTGGCGGAGTCGGGGCGAGGCCCTTATCTCCTAGCATTCAGATAGGGATCAGGAATGGGTGAGAATGGTAAAGAGTTGCCTGTATAGCCCTTGAGAGGTGAGACCTTGGGAGAGGCCGCTCTAGGATATAAACGGGTGAGACCCGTGGGCGAGGCCTGTATAAGAATAGCAGTATAGGTGAGACCTAGAGCAGGGTTGCTTAGTAGTATGGTTGGGTGAGACCCGTGGGCGAGGCCCGTGTGTTTTAGCAGCACAGGTGGGACCTGGCAAGGATCTTAGTGTCTAAATGAGGGGATCGGGGAATCCCAAGAAATTGTAGTGCCGACATAGTGGAATAGATTGAGCAGCATAGGTGGCGGAAGTTTCTTCGAATGTCGTTGGGAGCGACTAGTGGTTGTGTTGAGTCAGCGATCGGTGAGAGCCGGTAATGCAGATATTGATAGGTTGGTAGGGACCAGGGTGGTCTTAGTTCATCCGGAAGCCAGATATGGAATAGCAAAATTTTCAGTCAGTAGCAGTGCGAGTATGCAGCGTATGGTAGGATTCAGCCAGTTGTTCGTGGGGTGCGCGACACCAAATGGTAGTAGAAAGAATGCCCAATGGATACTGGCGACGATGACCCGTACTGGGAGTAGCGGGAGTAATAGATTTGGTGGAAACAGGGTCTTCACAGTGACAGAGGAGATAGGTGGTTATGGAGCATCACCTTGGAAAGACAAGGAAATCGTGCAAAAAAAAAGGGTAAACCCCTACGGGGTCAGTACAGTATTTGGATATTATCAGAAAGATTGTCGGTTGAGTGAGTTGCATTTCCAGAATGTTCAGGGTCAGGATGGACCCGAGATTATTATCTGTAAGGATTGACATTGGTCTGAATGACTGAGCGGAAGGCCAGCGAAGGTAGGCAACTGGTGTTAGAATGAACGGTGGGGTATTGGAGGAAGATCGCAATCGGTGGATCGTAGCAAACTTTGAGGATGAAGTTTATTTTAAGTGGGGGAGAGTTTTAACACCCAATGTTTGGAAATCCAAGAAAAGAAAGAAAACCCCAATTTTAAGGGGAGACTCGGCGAGTCCGAGCAGGATCCGGGTCGAGGAGTAAGCGACCGACTTGGCGAGTCGGCCAAGGTGACTCGGCGAGTCTGGTCTGAACGAGGAAAAACCCTAATCCCGGGAGTTGTATCCTATTTAAAGGGTGTTATGTCCCACCCTCAGCCCCCATATCATGCTAGAGAACCAGTACACCCTTGATTTCGTGTGAGATTCCATCATTTGAGAGAAATAGCTTGGAGGAAGGAACTTTGGGAAAGAAACTTGAAGATCAAGAAGGTTGCTTCAAAGGAGGAGGTGTAGATCCGAGATCTACTTTTGTGGTGTTCATCTTGGAGGTAACAAGCTACTATTTTTCCCTCCTTTACACCTAGATCTATGTGTTGTTGTTGGGGTTTTTAGCCATAATGTTATTCTTTCAAGTTAGAAGCCAGATCTGAAGTTGCTACTTCAGATCTAAGCATATGATGGCCTTGAGAATCACAAAGTATCAGCCCTTGAGTGGATCATGGAGCCTCTTTGCCTTAAACCCTAGTTTATGGTGTATGTTGCCTATATCTCCTTCTCTACACGTAAAGTTTGCAACTTTACGTGAGGAATAGGCTTGGGAAGGGTAGATCTACAGTTTGGAGTCCATGCATGACTCACAAGCCCTCTGCATGTAAAGGAATTTGAATGGACTCGGCGAGTCCTTTGAGTGGACTCGGCGAGTAGCATGAAGTTGTGGAGCAACTCGACGAGTGGGATGAACAACTCGTCGAGTCAGATGAAGATTGCCTTGTACTCGGCGAGTGTGTTCTTGGAATCGGCGAGTCAGGTTGCGAAACCCCAAACCCTTCTAGTTGAGACTCGAATCAGTGAGTCGGGTGGAGACTCGGTGAGTTGTATAGGTCTGGACTCAGAAATCGGTAGACTCGGCGAGTCATGGGCTGACTCGGCGATTCGAGACGCGAATGGAAGGAATTTGAACATTTTGAACTCGGAGAGTCATTAGGGTGACTCGACGAGTAGGGTTGACCTGGAAGGTTGACTTTGACCAGGGTTGACTTGGTTGCCTTCGGGGGTTAGTTGGACTTAGTATTGCTTTGATATTGGTAGTTCGGGGAGCAAGGGGTGCAGGAGTTCAGTGAGTTGCCGGGCAGCAGCTAGTAAGATCATCAGCAAGTTCAGCCAGCAGGTGAGTTTTCCTTTGTGTGAATGGGTCTAAGGCCACTATGCCGACCTATGTAGTTATGAGTAGAAGACCCGGGGGTTAGCCCTAGGCACAGTATGCTAGTATGATATTCAGGACGAGGTCCAGTAATAGTGGGTGGGTGCCCAAGGATTTGTTTATATGATAGATTATACTTGTTGTCTGTGTGATACATGTATGTGCCTGGTAGGGAGGTGAGTGTGGGCGAGGTCCCGTATATCACCAATAGCAGAGTGTGGATGGGGTTCCATATCTCATTAGTAGTAGAACATGGGCGAGGCCCAAACTAGAGCAGAAGTGAGAGTGGGTTGGGCCCGTATCTCACTACCATTAGGAGCGTGGATGGGGTTCCATGACTCATCAGTAGCAGGACAAAGGCGAGGCCTTAGGACAGAACCAGTTACATGTGTTTAGTTATGTGTTGTGATATGTTTATGTATTATCATTTGCTGGCGGGCGAGGCCTAAATAAAACAGATCTGTATCCGAGTGGGGCTCGAAGCCAGGCGGGGCCATTGTAGCGGGGGAGGCCCGAGGTAGGGGCGAGGCCCAAGATAGCGGGCATGGCCCAGTATGTGCTGTATGTGGTTATGCATGGTATGTGGTAGGGTGGGAAACTCACTAAGCTTCGTGCTTACGGTTTTCAGTTTTGATTTCAGGTACTTCCGGTAGCGGAGGGAAGAGCTCGGGGTGATCGCATGGCACACACCACAGAATAGACAACCTGGGAATGTTTACTCTGATAATGAACATGTGTTTTGAAAACTTATACTCATATTATGTTTTGGAATGATGACTTTGCTTTAAGTAATGTTTTATTAAAAGAAATTTTTGGTCTTAAATTTTGGGTCGTTACAGTTGATGTTGAGGATAACACATCTACACCAATTAAAGGGCGGATAAAAATGAAATCGAAATTTTGTAGGGAGCCTTACACACAGGTATAAAATTAAGTGATTTCTATTTATATAGTATATAATCGTTCAAAATTAATTAACATATTGATTTGTAGGTTCATCCGACGACGAAACCATTGAAGAACAGAAAAGGGAAAAACAACACGGAAGGAAAATAATGTAGCAACAAGACAATTACTATTGGAGAATTATGCAGATTGTGATGATGAATTTTGGAAATTATGGGGAAATAAGATGGGGGCGGTATTTGTGGAGCATAGAATTTTAAGAGGTATTGACATGAATTGGGAATTTTGGTCTAGTTTACTTGGTATTGGCTCTGGATGGTTGCTCTCTGATGTAACACACATCCCTTATTTTATATTACAAAAAGGGTTAGATAATTAATTGTTCAAAATGATTTTTTTTCTAACATGCAACATTTAGTTATCTGGTCATCCCTGCTCAAGGAAATAAGTCTGTCGAATTCTAGGTGGACGATTATTAATCGTGAAGGCACGACTTTGGAACCTGGGAAACAACATTATTTGAGGCGTATAGCAGCCGGGATGGTTGATGGACCACATTGGAAGGATATTTATCAGGTAAGTATATATATATATATATATATATATATATATATATACATACATACACACACATACATTAAAATATGTATATATCTAATAATTTATAATTTTTTTTGAAGGTTTTAATTCCAATCAACATATCGCAACTGCATTGGTATTTGCCTGATTTGGATCTCCTGACATGGAAAGTGATCATATATGATTTAGCTGAATGGTGTGGTTTCTTCAAAAAACATGTGGAAGACGGTAGTTTCAAATCATTGGGTGATAGTATATTAAGTGAACTAGACCACATATTATATTGGGCCCATTTTCCTAATAGACAGAAACCTACTCAGGTGAAATTCGTTAAAGATAAACATGTTTCGTAGCAGGAACAAGTAGAAGAAGGAGAAAGAGGAGATTGTGGAGTTTTTATTTGCATGTTCATGGAAATGCTTGCATCAGGTGTACCAGTGGAGACACGTCAATCAACTAGAGATACGGGATTTACTTACCGTAATCGGATGGCATAAATTATTTGGAATAGTAGAATTTGATTGTGTTATTTGGAATAGTAGACTTTGATTGTGTTATTTGGAATACTAGACTTTGATTGTGTTATTTGGAATACTAGACTTTGATTGTGTTATTTGGATTTACATACAACTACACCTATTAAAACAAAACAAACATGAGATACCTAACTATTAGAACAACTACCAACAACTTGTACATACGTGTGCTCTTCTTGGAATCACACATCCCCTTTTCCATGCTTGCCACTACACTATTCTCCTTACTTAGGAGAAACTCCAACCCAACATTCTTAGTCCTCAAGTTTTTTATGACACCAAGATCCTCTTTGGAATCTAACTATTGCTTCATGGAATAGATGAGGTTTTTGTAGTAACCATCTTCAAGTGCAACATCTTTCCATTCAAAGTAATCACATTTCCCCAGTCTTGTCTGTATCAAACTCACTCGAATAAAACATCAAAACACAATGACTAATCCCCTAAGATGTATTTTAAACAATCGCAATTATACATGTATTTTTAGAAACGAAGCTTACCAAGCTGTTGTTGCAGTTCTAAAAACGTCTCCCGGGGTTAGTGAGTTTCCAACATGTTCGTTCCTTAGCTGGAACATTGCAATCATAATGGTTAACATCGTCTTTAACAAACACACAAGCAACTTGGAGGCGGTTTCTTGTATTGGACGAGCTCATAGACATTCTGTTGAAGAATCAAAGTGGTAAGAAAGAAATGAATGAGGTCCAAATTGGGTTTTTTGAGACATCACTTAAGAACTGTTTTCTGCGGATCATTGCACACCTCTGCGGATCAGTGCACACCTCTGCGAAGCAGTACACACCTCTGCGGATCCGTGTACACATCCGCGGATTACCAAACAACTCTGCGGAATAAGTAATATAAAATCACTTTACCATGCGTATCCTGTCATCGATTCTGTACCGTTTCTTCTTGATTTCAATTTTTTTAAAAATTAGCCATTATATTTTTCGTCATAATGGCTTCCATACCATGGAGCGCCGAGGATAACCTCCGTCTAACTCGTGCATATATTAATATCCACGAGACCACCTGAGTGAATGATCCAAGTTATTGGACGCGTTTAACTTATGCCTTCAACGCTGACCCTCAAACTGCCCCAGAAAACTACCGCAGCACCGCTGACATCACAACAAAATGGTATGAATTAAAAAACAGAAGTCTTGGTTTTCAACAATCTTTATACCAAGAATGACGACGAACGTCCAAATGAAGATGAGGAAGTCATCCTGGACGCGGCTAAAGCGGAATACATATCCATTAGTAACGGGTTAGAATTCGAGTTTGAAGGGCCCTGGAATCTATTAAAAGATCTCCCGTATTTTTAATTTGTATTGCGTTTGTAGAAGGATATTTTAATGTAGTTTGTTTTTATTAGGTTAATTATATGCACCGGTTTGTATACGTTATTTATATGTATTTGGTTTGTATTAGGTTATTTATGAAACCAGTCGAGTTCACGTCTACTTTATTCCATAGAACATAAAATACAAAACAATACAAATACATGGAAAACATACATCACTAGCAAACATATTACATAAAATATTTCACATAAAAAACCATTCTACATGAAATACTGGTGATTCTTAACTAGATTCCATGCGTCCACATACTCGAAGTCTTTTCCTTCATGCTTGAGAATGTAATGATCTAAAATCATTTCTACAAGAGCTTCCTCGTTTGAGTAATAATAATTACTACTATTTTAAGATGATGATATCATTGATTGAACCATGTGATTTCGTTCTTTAACTTCATCCACTTACTAAGAATATCTACTTGTACCCGATATTCTCCTTGTCCAAATGAGAGGTTGAACATACCTGTTATGTGGGTCCATTCATCACCTCCAAGGTAATCAAGGGTAATCATTGTTGTTTTACCTTCAAAAATGTTCAACCAACATCGTATTATAACCATCACCTCTCTTGTCGTACATGGACGTAAAGTATCGAACGATGGTGTTGCATTCGTAGAAATTGGTGCATTAGAGGCCATTTCTATATTTTTCAATACTAGGGTGAGTTGATACAGTATTTAAAAGATATGAAAATTTATACACTGATCTGTAGAGGTGTATACTGATCCGCAGAGTTGTACACTAATCCGCTGATAACAGTTATGTGGATTCCCAAATAGTTATGTGGACTGATATCGAACATAAGTTCATTATTTTTAACATTTTTTTTGTCAAATTATTTACATAATCACATAAGGTATTAGTGTTTTTTTTTAAATATTAATAAACTAAAATGAACGAAAAAAAAACAATAAGTTTATTATTTTTAACATTTTTTGTCAAATTATTTACATAATCACATAAGGTATTAGTGTGTGTATGTGTGTGTGTTACACCTTGAAAACTGAAGGCGGAAACATTTCCGAGGCGGACTCCATGTTGTGTATCAAATCCAATGCACATAGTAAGTAAAGTAAAACAACCATTACATTACATATATAAAAGTTTACATTTGTGTGAAAAGTAAAGTTATACAAGTGATACATAGTATATATGAACAAAATGGAACGGGTCTTCTGAGTACTCCATCTTCAAACAAAAGGATCTTCGGGTACCTGTCTAACGTGGACCTGAGAATACAAGCAGTTTGAAAATCAGCATAAAGCTGGTGAGTTCATAAGCGGTTTTGTTATGTGAAAATGTACGAGTTTCCTTTCTGGTTTCTGAAAATGTTACGACCCAAGAAAATCCCATATTTTCTTAAAAGTAGTGTTTGGTTAACTTTTAGGTTACACTGTTCTAGTTATGTTCAACTGAAATCCCAGGAAAATCCCATATTTTCCTAATGTGAAAGATGTATACTGAAAACCTGGTTATCCTTGTAATGTACGTGTTTACCAACCCGAAATGTAATGTAAAAGATGTACTCTGAAAATGTATTAGTTTTAACACGTTTATAAAACTAACACATACCAAGTAAACTAGTTACTTAACCCATTATTACTATTATGTAAATCTCTGTTATCCAAATTGCGAGTTCCATAACCATACAATAGACTAATTAGGGCAATAAATAATCCATCACCCTATATGACTTTCGTCACCCTTGAACCTTTCGGTTCGACTGTAGCTAGCAGCCAGGTGCGGGGTAGTCAGCCCCGTATAGATCTATACACTCAAGTCACGCTCCCTATCTAAGAGATTCTGGTTACGGGGGCGGTCCTCCACTCGCGTATCTCTGTGGAGTGTTCACCGAGGACGTGTCTCCAATTATAGGATTAACAAATTTACTAGTAATAATACTGAAAGATCAATTGACTATCCTCCACTTGCGTATCTCTGTGAAGTGTTACCGAGGACAAAACCATGTTCAAATGTTATGCTTTTAACTGTTATATTGTGGGAAAGCATTTGTGAAAATATAAATACAACAATTTATAATGTAATTCACAAATAACATGATAGTGTGTCCTGTAAGTTCAAACGGTTGTTTGTTACGAGTGTCAGTGTTAAAAGCATATATAGTATGAAACACAATGTATATAAAACAAGTTTTGAGTACAAGTATCACTTATACTTTGCTTGTATCCCCCCTGAAAACAGTGAAAACAATGAAAATGGGTAGGGGTATGAACTCACCAGACGAGTAAACGCGACTGTTTGGATGTTAAACGTTGGTTCGGGGCTTGATTACACGCGAGGTTCCTATGTAATATGAAATGGTTTCCAAAGGTATCTAATTAGACTTTAAAACACTAATTAGATATGATAATACACTCCAATGAGCGAAAACACTTCATAACAAGTGTTTGGAGTGACCCGGGTGACATCTACGGACGTGCAATGATGTGTGGGACTTGGGAATTGAGTTTACTCTTCAGGAGTAAACTCCTTATGGAGTTTTTGGCCTTGAACAACACACACACATGAGTTCATGGCCGTGAACTCATGTTTGAGGGTTTTATGATGCTAAATTGCTTGAATACTCATGGAAATGATGAAATGGATTTTTCTAAGGCCTTGGAATGGATTGCACTTGCATGAATATCATTTATAGGAGTTCACGGCAGTAAACATGGAGTTTACGGCCGTAAACTCCCCCAAGCTCAAACTATAATTTATTTTGTGAGGCTAGGACAATCACATGTGATTCCAACTATTTTCCAAGCCTTGGTATGAGTTTTGGACATCATTTGACACATAAAGAGGAGTTTACAGCCCTGGAACTTGTCCTCGGGGTTTCATGGTCGTAAACTCTCATTTGTGGGGTGTTTAACATGTTTAAGGTCCCCAAACTATTTTTAGATGATTCTAGGATTTATTCCAAGGCTATTGGTGGAGTTATATGGCTTTTAAACATGTTTAAATGAGTTTACTCCCCATGTATGAGGTGTTTACGGCCCAAGATTGTTCTTGGGCAGTAAACTCATGTTTACTCCTCAAAAACCATGTTTAATGTGTTATAAGTCCGAATTGGTAAGCCATATAGTCATATGTAAGTCCCAAAGTTGGTTTGGAGGGGTTAAATTGCTCAAAAACCCATTTATTAAGTGTTTACGGCCCAAGCATGCTCCTTGGACGTAAACACATGTTCCAGGTCCAAAATGATAGAGTAAACACGGATTTGAAGACCTAAGAGGTTGTACAACAAGTTAGGGATGTTACCTCAAAGATTTGGAGCCTTAATTCAATGTTTTGGACCTTGATTCTTTGGTTGAGGAGAGAGGTTAGAAAGAGAGAGTAGTGAGATGAAGCAAAAGCTTCAAATGGAAGCTTAGGTCACTTTATATAGTGCTCGGGATTTGGAGACGGTGGATTTCTACCCGATACCGACATTATACGGTGCTTTTGGTCGCACCCGATTTAGTTACCGTAACCTGATATGGTCGATTCTAAAATGTTCCTGATTATTAAAATGAAGTGCTAATGTGAGTTCTAAACATTTTTAGACATTCATTAAGTCATAATAGGAGTCCCACAATTAAGACCTAATTAAATGACGTAACGGAAACGAATCGAAAATGACGAATATATTAACGAAAGGGGTTACAATTGATGAAACGAACTTCGGGTTGTCACAGTGTGTGTGTGTGTATATATATATATATATATATATATATATATATATATATATATATATATATTAATAAACAAAAAAAAATCAAAAAACACCAATTCCACAGAGGTGTAGCAGATCTGCAGAGCATCTAATGGATCCGCAGAGGATGTTCTGCGGATCCTTTGGTCATTTTCCAAAATATGTTTTTCCTTGGTTATTTTCTTCAAACCATCCTCATTTTTTGGTTATTATCCGAATATTGTGATTTTTAATTTTATCTATGTTTTAAATAAGACGTAAACTCTCTATTTCAAAAAAGAAAAGAAAACATTTGACATGGTTGCACTAGAATCAATTTGTTTTTCGAAGGGCCCCATTTTTGTTTTTGCCCCGGGCTCAAAATATACTTGGACTGGTCCTGAGTAGGTAACATGTAGCTTGTAACGTTTTGTTAAACGCTACGTGAAATAACTTTTGAATTTGAAGCGTTTTGTTTAAAGTAAACACTAGATCTTGTATTGTCAAATAATGTTTTCTGTTCAAAATGAAACATTTTGTCAAGCGTTAGAAACTAGAAGCTCTCGAACGCTTTGTATTTAACACGCCCATAATGGAGCTAGAATAAACATACACTTATAAATTCAAACTAAATATAAGGAAAAGATTGCACTCTATCTTTATCCTACCAAACTCTATCTTTATCTTTATAGATATAATCTTTGATAAAGAAACGCCAAAGGTAAAACATACGCCAACAGGTTTCCATATATTATATGGTTATTCTTTAGCATGATTGGTTACATAATATTTATGTAAAAAAAAAACCTAAAAAAGTCTTGGTTTCTACTCACAACACTTCTTTACCAAACAGTCAAAACTAGTACAATCATACAATTTCAATTGGTTTGGATAACTCAATCATTTTGGTTTGAGTATATCAGTATATGTCATACTAACTTTACCAGTTTGGCTTACATTTCAAAACATCTTTCAGCAAAAAGATAAAAGATTACAATCAAATAGTTTTAAAACTTAAAAACTTTAATAATTGTTAATCTACAATGTTCTTATCGCTGGTTATATAAATAAAAAAATGAAAACGCATCAGTCACGTCTTTGGTTTATATACAAGTGTGTAGGTGATGTAACACCAATTGTGTGGACGACGTGGAAATATGGACCACTGTCGTTGTTGGGACCACTTTTTCATTAAAAACCAAACAACCATAGACCATAGTCATCTAAATTATATTATATTATTAACACTGCAATTAAAATAATTATTAAAAGGTGGCGTTTTTGTTATTATAGGATCCAGGGAGGATAAAGTATAAACAAACAAAAATTTAAAAAAATAGATCAACGTGGATTTATACGTTATTGAAGGAAACAAATAAATAAATAAAAAAAAAAAACCGGAACCTTGAAGGTAGCGTTTGTGTTATTTTAGGATCGAGTGAAGATAATCAAACAACAGTTGGTAACCTTGGTATAGTGAGCTCTGGCTATGGCGAACGGTTTCACTCCCGTCAGCAATGGAGTACCCGATGAAGAATCGATTACGGCGCCGCTCCTCCACCTCCGCCGCTCCACCTCCAACAACACCTCTCAGATTGCTATCGTCGGATCCAATCCTTGCCCTATCGAAAGTCTTGACTACGAGTAAACTCTCTGCTTTCACTTTCTTACTCTCTATCTATTGTCAACTCCATTGGATTATTGTTTGTTTGCTTAGTAATCAAGTGAAGTAAACTTCCAATGACATTCGTGATCTGGATGTTAAGGAATTGAAGTAGTTCTTTCTCCACTTGACTGTTAGTCGATTCTGCTTCGAACCGACTATAGTTTAACATCTCGGTTAATCAAAATTGTAATCGAAAGTTAAAAGTTTAAACGAATACAAAGCGATTAAAGTAGGGATACGTCTTCTTATCTCTTGTTTTTGTTGTTCTCGGAGTTGAACTCTATAACTGTACACACCGGTAACGTTTAAGTGTCGCATGTATTGGAAATTGATTGATTGATTGATTGGATTCGTTTCTGGTAATCATGTTTGTTCAATTGCGACAATCATGTCTATAGTATCACCTTTAATTTTGGAGTATCTTTTTGTTCGGATTAACAATGATTGTGAATTGATGCTACCACTTTACACCTTTTAGTAAAGGTCGAGTAACATGTAGTGCTTGTATGAATAGTTTTCTATTTGGCTTTGATCTAACCAAACCACATTTGCATAAGGAATAGAGAGATGAAGAACTTATGTCTTGATATCATACCTTCTAAAACACATACAATAATTAATTTAAGCATGATCATTACTCCTATAAGTAATTTTGCTAAGTACTTATCTTTTTTTTTTTTTTTTCCCTTAAGGATCATGGAGAATGATGTCTTCAAGCAAGATTGGAGAAGCAGAAGTAAGATCCAGATATTCCAATACACATCTTTGAAATGGTGTCTGTGTTTTGTTGTTGGAACTTTTGTTGGTCTGATTGGCTTCTTCAATAACTTAGCCATTGAGAACATTGCTGGTATCAAATTTGTAGTCACCTCCAACAGGATGCTGGAAAACAAGTTAGACTTACTCTTATAAACTGTTTTCTTCAATCTCACTTTTCAATTGGTAGAAGAAATTGAATCTTACTCTTATAAACTGCTTTTGTTACAGGTATGCAGAAGCATATCTCATATTTGCAGCTGCAAATTTAGGCCTTACTTTGTTTGCTGTTACTATAACAGCTTTTATAGCTCCAGAAGCTGCTGGATCAGGCATCCCTGAAGTTAAGGCTTACTTAAATGGTGTTGATGCTCCTGCCATATTCTCATTCAGAACATTGCTAGTAAAGGTAACTTTGAGGTTTACAATATGTGTTTCTTCTTCTTCTTCTTTTTTTTTTTTTTTTTTTTTTTTTACATATATATGTGATGTGATGTGGAGAGATGTTGACAGATTGTTGGCAGCATAGCTGCTGTGTCATCATCTCTTAATGTCGGGAAGGCGGGGCCCATGGTGCACACGGGTGCATGCATTGCAGCTTTAACATGTCAGGGTGGATCAAAGAAATATTGGTTGACATGGAGTTGGTTTAGATTTTTTAATAATGATAGAGACAAACGTGATCTTGTAACATGTGGATCAGCTGCTGGAATTGCTGCTGCTTTTCGTGCTCCTGTTGGTGGTGTACTTTTTGCTCTTGAAGAAATGGCATCTTGGTAATTAATTTCTTCTACCAATTGCCTCTGAAAATTGAAAACAAACTTTGTTGTTGTGTGTTACAGGTGGAGAAGCGCGCTTTTATGGAGGGCTTTTTTCGCAACTGCAATTGTTGCAATTTTGCTTCGGGGTTTGACTGATTTATGCTTGAGTGGAAAATGTGGACTTTTTGGCACTGGGGGTTTGATAATATATGATGTCACCTCAGTAAACATATCATATCACCTACGTGATGTTCCTCCTGTTCTTCTTCTTGGAGTCATCGGTGGCATTGCAGGAAGTTTATACAATTTTCTTTTGGGTAAAGTTCTCCGGCTTTACAATCTAATCAACGAGTAAGCTTAAACCTCCACTCCCTCTTTTGGTATTATAATATAAAAACATGAAAATAAATTATCGATTTCTCAAACTACATTTTTACAGAAAAGGCACGATATACAAAATCCTCCTCGCATGCATAGTCTCTATTGTAACTTCCTCTCTCTTATTCGGCCTCCCATGGATCGCCCCATGCCACCCATGTCCACCTGGCGCAACCGAACCCTGCCCCACCATCGGCCGCTCCGGCAACTACAAAAAATTCCAATGTCCGCCTGGCCACTACAACGAGCTCGCAAGCCTCTTCTTCAACACGAACGACGACGCCATCAAAAACCTTTTTAGCAAAGACACAGACACCGAGTTCCACCCTTTATCGATCCTCATCTTCTTCATCACATGTTTTTTCTTAAGTATCTTCAGCTACGGAATCGTGGCCCCCATCGGCCTCTTCATTCCCGTTATAGTAACCGGCGCGTCTTACGGTCGGTTAGTCGGGTTACTCATTGGTTCCACCTCGAATCTCAACCACGGTTTGTTTGCAGTGTTGGGCGCCGCTTCACTCCTCGGTGGGACCATGCGAATGACAGTGTCATTATGCGTTATACTTCTCGAACTCACGAATAACTTACTATTACTCCCGCTTATCATGCTCGTTTTACTCATTTCAAAAACGGTAGCCGACGCGTTCAACGGAAACGTATACGACCAAATCATGAGCTTCAAAGGCTTTCCGTATTTAGAAACTCACGCGGAGCCATACATGCGACAGTTAACGGTTAGCGACGTGGTAGCGGGCCCGCTTCGCGTGTTCAACGGGATCGAGCTCGTGGGGAATATTGTCCATGTGCTAAGGACGACCGGGCATAACGGGTTCCCGGTTGTGGACGAGCCGCCGTATTCGGACGCGCCGGTTTTGTACGGTTTGATTTTGCGGTCACATGTTATTACGTTGTTGAAGAAGAAATGTTTTTTGGAGAGTCCGAGGTTGGATGTGGACGCGGTTGAGCGGTTTTCGGCTAGTGATTTTGCGAAACAAGGGTTGGGGAATCAGGATAAGATTGAGGAGATTGAGTTGAGTGAAGAGGAGATGGAGATGTATGTTGATTTGCATCCTTTTACAAATGCTTCGCCTTATACGGTTGTGGAGACTATGTCTTTGGCTAAGGCGCTTACGCTTTTTAGAGGTGTTGGTTTGAGACACTTGCTTGTGGTTCCCAAGACTTCTGAGGTAATTTCTAATTTGGTGGAATTTTTCGAGATTCTAGAAATGTGAAATGTTATATTGTTTCATGTTGCAGAGACTTCCGGTGGTTGGAATATTAACAAGACATGATTTCATGCCACAACATATACTTGGTTTACACCCAATGTTGGAAAGAAGTAAATGGAAAAGATTAAGATTCAAGTTCCCTCTTTGGAATAAAATCTTTTAAGTCAAATTAAACATCTCATATCTGTAACAAAGCTTCCTTACAGTTTTCCTAGCCATTGAATCGGGTGACTCCTGACTCCTTCAATCTAGTATAGTATATATGAGAACCTTTTTTTTTTCAACGAAATATACTCCTTCATAGATTTTACATTATGATGTTTACATTAATGTAAATATCTTGTTCAATTTTTAGCTTTTCACAATAGTCACATTCATTGGTTCTTGGTGCTTTTTCTTTTTGTTTTAGTTTGGGCGACATTTGGTCGGACAAAAACATCAATTTTTAGTATGTTGCTAAACTTGTTAATGGTGATAAAATGATCTGTTAGTCACGTTATAATCGTTTTCGGTGTATTGATTTTATTTAAATTTGATGAGGTAAATTAACATAAATGATTAATTTAGGATCAAAGAATGTATCAAGGATAATTAGTGTTCTCTCAAAGGGATGTGGTCCTAGCCACACATGCGGGGGTCAAAAATAAAAGAACAAAATGGAAAATAAATGAAAAAGATACAATTATTATTTATTTCTGTCACTTTATTTGTCCATAATATTACAAAATTATAACATGTAATACTCTATCATAATATTACAATGGGCAAAATTTTAAATTTTTTAATAATAGAATATTACTCGTAGTAATAAAATATGTAATATGTGTATTACATTGTGCAAAATTCAGAATCTTTATTAAACTTATAATAAAATATTACACATGACAATATACAAAATTTTAAAATCTTAACAATATTCAAATAGAATTTTATAAATAGTATTTATCACGAACAATATTAAGTTAAGGTATTAAAATGGTGATTTTTTTGGTTTTTTTCTTGAATATAAAAAGTGAAAAAATAATTATTAAATTTTCTTTTATCCCCAAAATGTGCGGCTAAGTTCATATCATCTTGTTTCACAAAAAGAGGTCCTTCTCAAATCATGGAGTTGTAAAATTTACTTCTCTATTCGTGTTCACTAGAGACTACAAACAAGTAGTCCATTAAAAAGTTAATTTACAAAGCATTTCATTTTATACGTTATAATGCATTTGTGGTCCCTTTTATTCTAGTGAAATCATGAAACAAAAATACAATTCCGCTTAGTTTGAGAGACGCAATATGTTTAGCATTGTGTACCATAAATGTATTCATCAAAGCTTAAATAGTCATTACACATAAGACTAATGCCTTTAATTAATAAAGGATGAAGTTAAATCCCCTTGCTTAAGCATATGTTTGTCTAGATTTTAGTTTGAGTGAAAAAAGTGAGTTTGAGAGAGAGAGAGAGAGAGAGAGAGAGAGAGAGAGAGAGAGAGAGAGAGAGAGAGAGAGAGAGAGAGAGAGAGAGAGTGTAATGCTCTGACTCTCAGGTATTAATTTTACAATTTTAATTTTTCATATTAAAAGGTCTACTCAACTAGTTGGAGACCCTCACTCGTCGAGTAGGAACGCTTTTGACCGCGAGTTTACGTGACCAACTCAACGAGTCGGAGGACACGACTCGACGAGTTGGAGCTGGAGGATGAAACCCTAATTTCTGGGGTTTTGCACCCTATTTAAAGGGTCATTAGCCTCCTTTACAACCCCTTGTGAGTCCAGAAACCCTAAATCACTATTTTCTTTCCATACTTGTATGTTTTAAGCTTGGAAGGTGGATCTTGGTGAGAGGAGCTTGAAAATCAAGAAGATTGAGGCAAGGAACGTGTGTGGATCTGAAGTCTACCCCAGTTTAGCAGCATTTGAAGGTATCAAGTCGTTACCTTGATCTCCTTCTAGCTAGATCCTTCTATATTTGGGTTTTAGGGCCATTTTAGCATGTTAGTGTTCCATTTCGAGTGGTGAACCAAGATCTGAAATTGAAACTTCAGATCTAGGCTCATCTTGGTCCTTATAATCATAAAGTTTTAGCCTTTAGCATGGTAAAATATTTCCTTTGCCAAGAACCTTTCTTTAGCTTGATTTGAGCCATTATCACATTGCATGTACGTAAATGTTGCAACTTTACGTAAGAAGTATGCCTTAGGATCTTAGATCTACATTATGGAGCTTTAAAGTGGCTTAAAAATCGTTTGGATGGAGAAAGGACTGAAGGGACTCAACGAGTTGCATGGCCAACTCGGCGAGTCCGATGAAGATTGTTGTGCAAGGATTTCTGCATGGACTAGGCGAGTCAGTAGGGAGACTCAGCGAGTCAGCTAGGAATTTCCCAACATTTTGACATGCATGAACTCGGTGAGTTTCAGGGAAACTATACGAGTCAACTGGGGTTTTCACGACTTCTCGAATTCAGGAAGGACGCGATGAGTCGGGTCAACATGGACTGTTGACCTTGACCATTGATTTGGACTTTGACCAAGGGTTGACTAGTTTACTTCTGGGGTATTTTGGTAAATGGGAAATTTATGGAAATGATTTTATGGTAACTATAGGTGGTGGAGTTCGTGGCTGGGGTTCGTGAATTTGAGTTATCACTTCGATTTGACGGTTGAGAGGTGAGTTCTCTTCAGTATACTCAAGGGTCGAAGGCACCAAGGCCGGCCCTATGAGCTTATAGTTTCAGTTTTGGTTTCAGGTACATCAAATGATTGTAAGAAGGCAAAGGCGTGATCGTACAGCTTCTTATATTTGTGTTTATGTTTCTGGTATACTCTGATATTATACCAATTTGAAAACAAACTTTGTAATGTTTAATGGTTTGAAATGTTTTTAAAAAGTTTAAATTTGGCATGATTTTTATGGGTATTAGAGAGAGAGAGAGAGAGAGTGTAACATCCGGATTTTTACCAGGTATCTTGTAAGTTTAAATTTTGTTATTATGTGAGAGGGACTCGGCGAGTTGGAGCTCAGACTCGCCGAGTAGGGACGCGGAATTGATCGACTGGTGCGCGCTTGGACTCGGCGAGTCCAGGGTATGGACTCGGCAAGTCTGCGCTGTGTAATGAAACCCTAAATCTCCGGGTTTGAGGCCTATTTAAAGGGCCTTATGGCCGACTTTTGTGCTCACCCAACCCCCAGAGAGAAACCCTAAAGAGATCTAGAGCGTTTGTGAGGAAGGAGAGGCCAATCTTGAACTTTTGTGGGTGTTGTTGCAAGAAGGAAGTGTTCAAGGCAAGAGGAGGCTGAAGGAGGTGCGATTTTTGTGGTCTTTGAGCTCATAGAGGCTGTATTGAGGTATTATTCTCGGACCTTCTTCACTTTTTGGTGTTTATTCTTAGTGTTAGGGTTTTCTAACCCTTTTAGAGGTTGATTAAGTGGAGTAGTTGGTCCCTTCTCGAGTTGTGTTTTGGATCTGGACCCAAAGAGGTCCAGAGACCTTAACCCATGGAGCTTTATGAGTCATTTTGGGAGTCTTGAGCTTGGAATGTCATTTTTGGGGCTAAAGCACCATTTTGGACCTTTTAGATGTTATATGTGTGTCAAGGTCCCAACTTTACGTGATTATCATGCTTGGGGAGGCCAGATCTATGATTGTATGGAACAGATCTGACCTCAGAAGTTGTTTTGAGTTCGTGCATGGCATGAACTCGCCGAGTCCGAAGAACGGACTCGGCGAGTAGTATGAAGGTGGCCCGTTAATCACTCAGTGAGTGGACTTGCCGAGTTGGGGGAAATGACTCGGTGAGTCAGGGAGAGTCAGGGGTCTAAGTTCAAGTTGGAACTCGCCGAGTTATTCTGAGACTCGGCGAGTTGAGTCGGGGTGGCCCCACGATTCATGCTAGGTGGAACTCGTCGGATCAAGGGGAGTACTCGACGTGCCAAGAGAGGATCTAAGAGAGTCAGTGGACACGTGTAGACTCGCCGAGTCGCCCTAGTGCACTCGACGAGTCGGGTCAAAGTTTGACCGTTGACCTTGTTGACTTTTAGGGTTGAGTACAGTTGTATTTATGAGAGTTTTATGTGATTAGGCGGAGGCTAGATCACACTTCTTCCGAGTCAGATATTTACCGAGACATCGAGGTGAGTCTCCTCTCTATACTTTACCTTGAGTAGGTAACCAGAGTTATGTGATTGAGTAATTGTATGCTATGTATGTTATGTGTTGTACTGCATGATTTCTATGTGATTTATGTAGTGCATGTTATTCAGAGCTAGAACCTGAGGGTTCAGGAGTTTGGGTGCACGGACCCACAGAGTTATAGCCTCGAGTGGCTAATATGTGTTATATGTGGTATTTTGGGGAACTCACTAAGCTTTGTGCTTACAGTGTTGATGTTATTTGTTTCAGGTGCTAGTGACGACCGCGGGAAGGCGCCGGCTTGATCCGTACACACACGATTGGAGTTTTTACATGTTGATCTTGGGATTTTGTACTGTTATGTTGAACTATTAAAATGGTTGTTTTATGGGAACAAGTAAAATGGTTGTTTTTATGAATATTAACGAAATTATGTTTTATAAAAAAAAAAAAATTTGGCTTTAAATTTCCGGTGTTACAAATTGGTATCAGAGCCTTGGTTTGAGGGATTCGGGTACACCTTCGGGAGTATTTGAACTCAAACTGAGGAATTAAGAGACATTTTCAAAAAAAAAAATGAAAACCAAAATTTTCTAAGAGTAAAGGGTTTTCCAGGAAGAAACGTGTGTACGATCAGTCAGCGCCCGAACGGTGAATTCCCAAAATATCCTTCGTTATGAAATAATTATTACTATGATGTGTTTGCATGCTAGAGCAGGCTAGGTATTGCTGATAGGACTAGAGTGGCCTGTTTTGTGATGCCTTAGCTTAGGGAATGGTGAGCTGCTATGAGATGCTGAGAGTAATTAGGTAGCAGCTAGGGCTTTGTGTGAGATTTGTTCCAGAGTGATTTACGTATAATAGAGTACTTGGGGACTGGGATCCGAAGAGGACGATTTGGGGATGTGTACTGAGACGGTGCAAACAGTAGTATTGGGCCCGTACTACTCAAAGCACCGGTGCGGTACACAGACCCAAATAAGAATCTGGGGATGCCAAGAGTCAAGGAGGGGTGGATTGTTGAATGTAAGAGTATTCGAGTGAATTCTAATTATCGCATGTTGTATTTCAGAGGTTGATCATGGTGAGGACGCGACACATGCCGGAGGATGCCGGGTCTAGTGATGAGGACATTCGGCAGATCATTCACGAGGAGGTGGCTGCGGTCATCAGAGCCGAGATACCGGAGATGTTCGGGTCTATTAAGACCGCTTTGATCGAGACATTTGACGAGCGCTATGCCGCTCTTTCTGAGGCTGCGGTCGCAGCAGCTACCGCAGCGATTGCTGCGGCGAGACCCCAGGGAGGTGATGCGACGTTATTCAGGGAGTTCAGCAACACCAAGCCACCAGAGTTTGATGGTACGCAGGACCCGGTGGCAGCTATGAGGTGGATATCTGATATGGAGGGATGCTTCTTCACTTGCTCGTCCCCTGAGCATTTGAAGGTTCGGTTCGCACTGAACCAGCTTCGCTTGGGAGCGAAGGACTGGTGGAAGTTTGTGTCTGCGCATTTCACACCGACTGAGCTTTCGGCAGTGACCTGGGAGAGGTTCACTTCCATGTTCCGGGATGAGTATGTTCCTCAGGTGGAGAGGGAACGTCTGGCGCAGGAGTTTCTGACCCTCAAGCAGGGTACCGAGTCGGTTACAGCGATTACGAGGATGTTCCAGGAGAGGGCGATGTTTTGCCCTGAGCACGTGTCCACCGAGCAGGCACGTATGAGCCGTTATCTGAGCATTTTGAGGCGGGATATTCGGGAGTTCGCTGCGAACTCCTCGTACCGGACATTTGCCGAGCTTCAGGCAAACGCTCGGAAGAGGGAGATTGAGCTTGAGACTCAGGCCAGGGAGGAGGCGGAGTCTATGGGGAGGGATCGGCGACCGGCACAGTCCCAGCCGGCAGCCAAGCGGGCCAAGCCCGCTGATCCCAGACCCGGGAGTCAGAGGGGCCGCACTTGTGGGAAGTGCGGCAAGGGTCACGATGGCGCCTGTCGGGCAGGGTCTTGCTACAAATGTGGCAAGGAGGGGCACATGGCTAAGGACTGCCCCAAGGGATTTGCAGTGTGCTTCCACTGCAATCAGACCGGACACCGGAAGGCGGAGTGTCCGCTGCTGCGCGGGGCATCTCAGGGGACTGCTCCCGCCGCCATCAGAGCTGCTACTACAGAGAGTCGGCCCGTGAAGGCCGAGGCACCGAGGGCTCGGGGGAGAGCCTTCCAGCTGACTGCGGAAGAGGTCCGCGCTGCACCCGACGTTGTGGCTGGTATGTTTCCTTTTCATTATTTATTTTCGGTGTTGAGATATTATGCTTATATCATGCTATGCTTAGGTACCTTCCTTGTGAATTCTGTACCCGCTTTAGTGTTATTTGACTCGGGTGCGAGTCGATCTTTTGTATCCTTGGCATTTAGTCAGCGTATCAGTGTTAGTCGTGGAGTATTGAGTCGGCCTCTGCGGGTTTCCATAGCCGCCGACAGGGTGATTTGTGCTACAGAGGTCTTCCGGGGATGTGTATTGGAGATATTCGGGGTCGAGTTTCCGATCGACCTGATTCCGATTGCGATGGGTGATGTTTGTGTTATAGTGGGCATGGATTGGTTGAGCCGATTCGGTGCGGTTATCGATTGCGAGCGACAGCTGGTGACTATACGAGATCCTAGTGGGGGAGTTCTTTCAGTATACGGCGAGGGTACACGTTCTGGATCAGCCTTTTGCTCGGCTGCTAGAGCGAGGCAGTGTTTACAGCAGGGCTGTAAGGGTTATGTAGCGTATGTGATGGATACGCGAGTGATTTCGGAGAGACCGAGCTCTGTGGATGAAGTTCCGGTGGTGCGGGAGTTTCCAGATGTATTTCCCGAAGAGTTACCAGGTGTGCCTCCCGTGAGGCAAGTAGAGTTTGGCATCGATTTGGTTCCTGGAGCTGCGCCTATTGCTAAGGTGCCGTATCGCCTTGCGCCTCCAGAGATGCAGGAGTTATCCTCGCAACTTCAGGAGTTGCTGGGGAAGGGGTTTATTCGGCCGAGTAGCTCGCCGTGGGGAGCACCCATCCTGTTTGTGAAAAAGAAGGATGGCTCGCATCGCATGTGTATCGATTACCGGGAATTGAATAAGTTGACGGTCAAGAATCGTTACCCGCTACCGAGGATCGACGATTTATTCGATCAGCTTCAGGGAGCATCTTGGTTTTCCAAGATAGATTTGAGGTCGGGCTATCATCAGGTGAGAGTGCGGGACGAGGACGTCCAGAAGACAGCATTCAGGACGCGTTATGGGCATTATGAGTTTGTGGTGATGCCTTTTGGGCTCACCAATGCCCCGGCCGTGTTCATGGACCTCATGAACAGGGTATGTCGGCCGATGTTGGATCGGTCGGTGATTGTTTTCATTGATGATATTCTGGTATATTCTAGATCCAGAGAGCAGCACGAGGAGCATCTGAGGGAGGTGCTTGGGGTTTTGAGAGCGGAGAAGCTTTACGCAAAGTTCTCCAAATGCGATTTCT